TACCAGATGGATGCTGTAAGGTAAGGAAATACTTCGTATCAATATAAATAAATATCCACAAGTATGACAATGATTCTAATTACGTTATCGCAGGTTATCCATAAAGGATGGAAAAAAAGTTCCGGGGCGGTTAAATATTTCCAAAAGTAATAAAGATAGAGCTTGAAAACTTGGTCCACAGTTACTGGGCATTAAAATAATTTTAAGATAGTATTCAGTGATGCACTACCTCTTCAGGGGGACGGCCCGCTAGGAGTAAAAATCTTAAAAGTTTAATATGCACATCAAATAAAAGGTCTTTGTTAGTAGAATACGATGCCGCAAATTTGAGAACAAAATAATGGCAGTCGGTCAAAGATTCAAAATGGCAGTTTCAATAAATCTTTGAATGGCTGCCATTTTTCACTCGGTTATCCGTTTGAGTTCAAATATGCAGCACTGTATTCTACTATTAAAGCCCTTAATGTTATGTGCCTACACCTAACCACAACCTATGCTACATTTAAGATTTTCTCATGACTCCTACCGAGCCTTCCCCCTAACAAGGTAGTGTAACGCTGAATGATGTGTTAAAATGATGTCCAGTCACTTTTTACCAAGTTTTGAGCAACCATACTTGTTACTTTTTGCAATATTTAACCATCGTGGGATTTTTCCACACCGAACTAATTTAATAAGGGGTTCATCTGTAACATTCCTGTTAAAATGTCTTGTTAGACATATTTTTACGATTGATGTGTCATCTTAAAGCTTATGATCTGGCAGAGGGACGAATGGTAACTGAAAACTTAACATAATCTTGAAAAGGTAAAAGAGTAAGGCATTGGATTTGTTGTGTCAGTTTTAGTGTCTTGAGAAATATGACGGACGTTGGCTCATGGCCAGCCACGTCCCTACCGTAAAGCCAATATAACTTATACCGTAGAGTAAATTACAGTATTGAGACAGCCGCAGGGATCAGTAGTCTGTGATGACAGGCTGTTGACGTTTTATTTGGGAGGGTAAAAAAATCCTAAAACGTTAAACTAAACTACTTTTCATTCTAAGTTGTATGTTCTGATACTACACTTAATCATAACAATTTAATCAAAAATCTATTATATTGCCTAGAAGTCGGAAACCAATTTCTATTTGAAAATTTATATTTAATCACAGAAAGATTTATATTTTAATACACAAAATGGGATTAAACAGTTCCCGAACTGCTTAAGGTAACCCCTTTAGCCAATAAATCGGGTACAGTTGTTGGTATTCTTATTTTATCTTATTCTCAGATAATTTTCTTATTGCAACCAAACAAGAAACCTTGACGCAGCCGACTCCATCAATCTCGAAATAATATCGCTGGTGATAAGATGCTTCGACGTCAAGGTGAGCCGCTCTCCACTCAACCCAGTGGAGGAGGTTGACGATATGTCACCTTACGCCGAAGCACCTTGTCTCTTTTCCAGTTTTTTTAGCTACTTTATTTGATCTTTTTCCGTTACATATTCTTATTGAAAGGTAACTGTTAAAATATTGTCATTCATGTCAACAAAAAATTAAAAATCCACCTAAGGAGACGACTCACCAATGTGAGCTCGCGAACGGATTATGGGATCGCATAAATATTTATTTTTCTGGTACACTCTGGGGTTATTGGCACCTAAGCCAATAGGGTATAAGTAGGGATGCCATTAAGATTCTTTTCATTCGCCTATTGGGTCTGATGATAATTGGAGTGTCCAATCGAAATCGATCACCATTTACCATCTTTTTTGTATATTTGCCGTCTTGTGAGTAACAGTATAAGCGTAAATATATGTTTCAAGTGTTATAAGACGTTTCTTTTATTTACTTTCCGTAAATTTAATAACACGTACAATGCTGATCAAGAAGTTATAAATTAAATGTCTACTTGCAGTAACCAAAGTCAATGGTGCATCCGGTTCACGTTCATGTCAATTATATGTCTACTTGCAGTAGGGCTATCTATAAAGTCGATTATATATTTTGTTCAAATAAATGGAATGTCTATATACAGTATCTTTAGTTCAATAGTGTATAAGCCTAATTTGTTGGTCAATTTGTAGAAAATTATGCTCAACGGTATTAATCAGATTGCTCTTCCCTTTTGTTCTTTATTTGTAATGTGCTAGTATAGATAATGTGTTAAATAATCATATGTTATGACTCTTTTGTTTAAATTTGTATTGTTATCTTGCAAAACTATCATGGCAAACAATAACCCCATAAGGCCCATGTTACATTTCTAAAACTTTAAATTCACATAGGGAAAAGCCCTGTAGTCCAATTTTGTTCCATTTCAGATTTATAGTTTCCCATAGCTGGTTACTATGACTGTGCTTAATTTCGTGCGGGTTGCATCAGCCGTTGAAGAGGAAAAGCAGGAGTAATAAGAGCTTCGCTCGATACGCTCGCTCCGCTCATATAATAGGTTCAATAAGTTAATAGAATTGATTCTTTACCAAACACAACACCAACTTTATAGGCCAAGCTGTTAAATATATTCCAAGTATTGAAGGCGTATGTTAAACAAAAGGAAAGTAGCTCTTAAAGTTTTGCAAACATATGGTTTAACATTTTCATGGATATACTGTATTGTAATAGTTAAAATTAAAATTACAAACTGTTTGAGCCTTTACTTCTGTGTCGTCTATTTCACTAGAACTATGCGATGTTTTAAAAATCTTCGAACAACCTTTCTGCAACTTTTGGCTAGGAAATCTTTTAATTTGTCTAAGGTAACTTTCCTTATATTGTGTGGGTTTTAGCGAATGACGACAGATCAACAATTAATTATTGAAATGTGCATTTCGGCAGATGAGCTTGCGTTCGAGGCACTAAATTTTACTTCTTATCTTCCAATCCTTGACCACCATTTGGTCCCTTACATTACCACACTAGTTCTGTAAAGTAAGTAAACAAAGCGGTAAAGTAAATCTTTTTGATTCTAAATACCGTAGTAGTTTATGCAATGATCGAAGATATCTTTATCAAATAAGAAAAGAATTAGTCACGAGCCTTGGCGAGTACCTTACCTACGATCGTTCATTAATTGCGTTTTGTAAAACTTCAAAACCTCTTTCTGGTTCTTTTTTTGAAGGAATATGTATTCTTACCATGAGTACTATTTTAGGTTCAAGTAGACAAACATATTTTTCAATTTCATATTTTTTTTTTTTATTCCAAGTAGGACAATTATTAGTATCAATAAAGCATAATTGATCAACAGTTTTACACAGATATTCAAGTAACGTTTCTTTTATTTTGGTGGTAAAAGATTATTACAAACCACTTGAACCCCAACCAAGTGGTCATCTTGTCGTATATTTTACTAGAACTATCTGACATTTTCAATAAAGTCAGCAGATCAACTAACGAATTGGCCGTTTTCAGCTGATAAGTTGGCATTCGAAGCATAACAATTTTGCTTCTTTTATTTTTATCCTTGAACCCCGTTGGTCCGTTACTTTACCACCACTATTCTTGTAACATTGGCTGTAAAGTAAGTAAAGAACGCGGTAACATAAATCTTTTGAAATTTAAAAATTGAGTCAGCTATTTTAAAAACAGACGTAGGTAATAGTATATTACGTTACTAGTCCTGAAAATAGGTGTTTACCGGACGAGTGTGGTGGTTCCCGTGCGAGACGAAGTCGAGTGCGGGATTACCATACGAGTCCGGTAAACACATTTTGGATGAGTGACGTACGATATTTTACGCCACACTACTAAATCCGTACAAATCTGTACATATTACCACCGACTAAAGGACTAACAATCACTAGTCATAACCTCTTTTTTTTGTTTATTAACTAACCACTCTCACTCATTGCCAAATTGTGTGCCACATTACATCCAGCGTATTCTCCGCGCCAAGAAGCTAGACCTTGACCGGGATGCGGTGTAGGTCATAAAGTATATAAATGCCAGAAACGGTTACTATAGGTCACATGTTGCCCTGACTTGAAGTAATGCGACAAACAATTCCAGGTCTGTGTCCAACAGAGTAGAGGGGGTTTTTAGTGAGTAGTCTGATAATTTCAGGAGTCTCACACTACAGGCTGGCTGCCTGTGTGCGTAAAAGCATTTCTCCCTTAAAAAAAATAAATAAATAAAATAAAAATAAACTCATTGCCCAATACAGTATATAATCAGCAGGTTGCTGTCCGGTAAAACTTATTACAGTACAGTGGTACGTGATGAAACCCCATTTGAGTAAGCTGACGGCAAACAGCTGTTTTCTGGACTAAATCTTTGCGTGGGAAGTTCGTCAAAACAGTGTAGTGTGGCATAAAATTAAATTTCAAAAGGCTAGTTTTAAAAACTGGTTTTAGGTCAAATGCATTGCAGTAGGGATATTGAAATCCCATTTGATTTGGTAGTTGCAAACAGCTATTTCCCGGACCAAAGCCATGTAAAAAACATCAAATAGTAAGTATATCAAAACAGATTAAATTGTCAAAAAGAAAGTTGAAAGCTTAAAAAAAAGAATATTTGTAGAACTTTGCAAATCTTTACCTCTATAGGCCTAAACGATATGCATTAAATTAAATGGAAATTGCAACGACATGCATACAATGGATATTTTTAAGCTCCGTGACACACGTGACTTAAACGTGTAAATCCTGCAATAAACCCTCTCCTTGAGTTTTCTAATGGGAATCATGACACCCCATATTAAATAGTTTTTATAAAATTGCTGAGTACCGCATTCATTTTTTGTGTTGTTTTTTTTTTTATTGTTAGACAAAACAATGCTGCATCTGAATTCATTGTTTCTAGCCAGCCCTGAAATTGTTTCTGGGCTAGAAATGCTTCTGTTAAAGCTATACGGGGGTGTACCAATCTTTGTGTAGATATAGCCTGCTACTCTCTTCAAAATTGCTGTTTTATCTACTATTTACAACACTTTAGTAAAGAATTAAATATACTGAAAAGGTCTGTAAATTATAAAAAAATCAAACCAGTGTTTGTGGAAAATTAAGCAAAGTGTGTGTTATATTTCATCCGTTTAATCAATGCACTAAATGACACTACAGAAACATTGGTGGTTTACCTTCGTATTTCTTTGGTTTCACAAAAGGCCTCAAGTACAATGGAATGTTCCTGTTCAAACCTATGTCTCCTGTCCATTTGTTGGGGCATCTTACTCTCACCGCTTCTCGTTTTTCCATCTGTGTGCGGTCGTAGTAAATCATATGGGCGTTCTTTTCCAACTTATTGATATCTATTTCATAGCAGTTTCCATCGACTTTTCTAAATACAATTTTGAAACGATCGTTGCCAAAAAATGTGATCCGTCGATTTACGTTTATGCCTTTGAATTCACAAGTTTCGAGCACGTATTTGTCTAGCACAATATCGCTGTATTCCTCATGAATCAATACACTAGTAGCTAGTTTACTTCCATCCTTCAAAGTGTCTTCAATGCACATGAACTTAAACCATTTTCCAGCGAAATCTTCAATAATGTTGGTTTTAGGGTCTTCGTCCTTTTTGTCTAGGTTGTATGTGTAGTCCATCCTCGAATACTGTCCCGGTGATAGGAGATTCACTGGTAAAAGAAATATTTATAAATATAATTATATGTATCTCATATGTGTTTATTATCTAATGGAAAACATATATTGGGAAAAAATGTCCTATAATTGTCAGATTTATTTCATATTTAAATAACATAAAATGTTTACAACTACTTAAGTTTTCTTCTTCGAGGTTATACCTGAAGAACTGTAAGACGTTGATACCTTAGATTAAAGTAAATAAACTTGATCAATTTGTTAAATATATACAGGGTAGTCCAAAAACAACTGACCCATTTTGACATTTATTTTTATTTACGAAATTTTAACTACATAGTAACATTAAAACATGCATAGATAAAAAAGTCAAAAAGTTGTTGGTGATATTCAATAAATTTCAACATGGCCACCGTTTATGGCTCTGCTGGCTTTACCCATTCAATGTTAATTCCACCCTCAGAGAAATCCAGGTGTGCGATGTACTTGATTTTGATTTAATGTCAGCAGAGCCTTATACGGCGGCCATATTGACATTATTTATTGAATATCACCAAAAACGTTAGTTTTATTGTTACCATGTAGTTCAAATTTCGTAAATAAAAATAAATGTTAAAATACTCGTATGTCTGTTATTTTTGGGCCACCCTGTATATACAGGGTGTTTTTTTAAAAACTTGCATCTTTATTTATGTAAAAACCGCAATAGATAGAAATATGCAGTTTGCGGTAATCATCTATTGACGTAGGGGGCCCAATTGTTTTGAATTCTACGTTACATTCACATTCCCCCCCTTTCCCCCCCTGCCCCCAACTTAGTGTTTTTAAATAGCAAGGTACCCCTTGTGACATATCAAATGAAAGAGCATGAAAAAAGAAAATGTTTGATGAAAAAAAATTTAAAATCGGTTCATAAGTTTGCGAGATATTTCCCCCTCCCCCTCCCCGGAATTTATTTTTTTTTAATAGCAAGGTACCCCTTGTGACATATCAAATGAAAGAGCATGAAAAAAGAAAATGTTTGGTGAAATTTATTTTTCATTTGATATGTCACAAGGGCAGGTACCTTGCTATTAAAAAACAAGTTATGGGTAGGGGAAAAGGGGAGGGATTATCTCACAAATTCATGAGCCGATTTTAATTATTTTTTCACCAAAAATTTTCTTTTGTCATGCTCTTTCATTTGATATGTCACAAGGGGTACCTTGCTATTTAAAAAAATTAAGTTGGGGGCAGGGGGGGAATGTAAATGTAACGTAGAATTCAAAACAATTGGGCCCCCTACGTCAATAGATGATTCCCGCAAACTGCATATTTCTATCTATTGCGGTTTTTACATAAATAAAGATGCAAGTTTTAAAAAAAAAACACCCTGTATAAGCAACCGGTTTGCTTGTACAACAGTTTGCTTTTCCACTATACGGAAGAAGCTATAACCGTAGGTTGTATGATAGGAATCACGGAAAGAACTAGACCCGAGGCCGATTCCATTTTTAGTTTCAATGTAATTTTGAGGTCAAAAACACTGTTCATGAAAATATAGTTACATTATATGCTATTATTAAGTGGTTCCATGTTATATGTGGTTCTATGTTATGTTTCCATGTTAAGTGGTAATATGTTATATGAAGTGGTTCCAAAATTATGGGAAGTAATGTAAAAAATACATACACACCAATTAACGAAACGAGATAGGGCATATGTTAAAATGATATATTTTGTTTACCTAAGGAACATGACCACGGAGTTTCGGGAGAGAGTTTCGAAACATCCTGTACCTACATTTAAAAAATCAAGCGCGATTTTTTTTAGAACTCCGTGGTTTCTCAATCGATTTTATTGTAACGGCTCATTTGAAAGATCTCATTTAGTAGATGTCGTATAAGGTCTATCATGTTTAAAAAACTATTGGGCTCTGCCCCAGTGGCTTTTACAGTTCTTAGGTTGCATTTTTTGTTTACGAACAAAAAAGCTATAGCATATCAGCTGGATAATTTAACTGCTGTTAACATTTAAGTTGCAATTCAAAGAAAAAAGAGCAACAAAAATTTACTGATTTGGTTGAAATTAAATATTTACATTATCTTGAGCTTTAAAACTAGTTTTTCTTCATTTTAAGAGTTTAATGGAATTGAGTAATCCTGAGATTTATTTATTAAGGTTTTAATTAAAAACTTTTTGAATTATTAAACTATTCACAGTTAAGGGGAAAAATGAAAATTTGAACAACATCAGGCCTTTTAACTCCTCATTTTTTCAGGTAAATATAATAGTCAATGATATAATTGACAGTGTGGTTACTGTACCAACAGAGTTTCGATTGCTTCAAATGAACATGTGACAGATTACTGCTATGACACAATGTCGTTAGGTGCGTTTTCATAATGTTAATAGTTTGAGTTGAACTGAGTAAATTAAACAAATTTGATCAAAATATATCAATGAACAAGTAAGTAACAATAGTATACTTATTCTCAAAATATTCTGGGGAATTTTAAGTTTGTTGTTTTTTAAATTTCAACGTAACCATTTGACGCATATTGACGATTCTAAGTACTAAATTATTTGTGTTTATTTTAGCTTTACAAAATAATTAGGAAAGAAACTGCCTAATTCTATATTTAAAGGGACAAAAATGTTAACCCCATAGAAATTTAATTCCCACAGTCCGATCGTGTTGGTTTAGTTGATAGTAAGGTTTTCATTACTAATTTCAGACAAACAATTATTCCCACAATGATGAAAGGAAAATACTCCTCCATCAAACAAAACACAAGGTAAACTTTAAAATGTTTTACATATTTTTCGAATACAAAATGTAGTAAAGAGGTTCCCTAGTTTAAATCTTACAGTTTTCAAATGCAAACCTTTGTTATAATACATAAATTTAAATCTCTTGTAATGAAATCATAATTAGAAAAAAATTATATGTATATGAATTTAAACTGATTGTTTTTTGGCCCTTGGGGACGATAAAACAAAAAGGTAAAGCTATGCAGGGCATAGATAGGTCTTGCTATGAAACATATGGCAATAGCTCCAGTAAAACCTACTATGAAATTCACTAATACTCTACCGGTTAACAAATTACAAAAATAATCTATTAATTGTATTGTTAATGATTAAGCCAAGTCAATCACTTTACTAATTAGTCTATTTTGATATCAACTCACCCACTCCACCAGACTTTGCACCACCGTCGACCATCTAAAAAAGAGCGACATGCCAAATTGTGCTTTGATAATTTAGAATAATTAAGCTTCAAATTATAATGGTTTTAAGAAAAAGATACTTTTCTAATAATATACATTATTTAAAGCCATTTACTTTTCAAATATATTTATATGGATATACTGATATAAGTATATATATTTTATATATACATATATATATATATATATATATATATATATATAATTATTAAAATTTTAGAATATCTTAAAATGTGTATAGGTGTAAGCTAACACAAACACCTGTAGACTACGTTTGTTTAATTTTAGCAAAGCGTAATATAGCGTAGTTACTGTCTCACTCCTAGTCAAATTACATTTTGTTTCTAAAATAATTAATAGATGTGTAACCATTTTATGCGGCAGATCTACTAAAAGAATATCATTATTCTAATTGCAAATTGTGGGTATAGCAGTTAGTATTGAATTGAAAGTACTGTACAATCTGTTTAGTGTTTAAATGCGTTTATTTTCAAATATTTAGAGTTGTGCCATTGAAAACACAAAGTTAATATAGTATTTAAGTGTTAAATCATATAATGAGTGAGTGAAAGGTAGAAGGTAAGGGAGGGTGAGAGTGAAGGTAGGGGTGGGTGGTGCGTAGAAATTTAGTTCACCCACGAGTGCGACATAAAAAAATAAGAGTTTTTGGTAGCCATAACTCTGATCCATCCAAAACTGCACGTAAAGCCCGGTTTACACTATGAAGAGCTATTCATGGCTATATAGCTGAGCTTCAAGTTCAATTATAGTCTTTAAAAATCTGCTATATATTAGGATTCCAGAGCTATATGGCCTCAAACCAGTTTTTCAAAATTGTTTAAATGCAACTGCAAACATTTTGAGTTTTCTCATTGACGTCATGGAGACCAATCAATAATTATTTTAAAATCCTCACAATGGGACGTATCCCTTGGTGAGCATCGCGGCGGGAGTGACTAGTCAAAAGATATTCATGGCCCTTTGTATATGAAATCATGAAGTAAAAACTACGACTACTCAAATGGACATTTGACGGTATATAACACCAGAGTTGTTGGATTCATGAAATATCTCTTTTATTAGATCTAATGAGAGAAATCTATTCAATTCGGAACTTAGCAAGAACGGCTTGTTATAATGACTTTGATAAGTAATCAATAAAAGTATTTCAGGGAAGTAAATAATAACAGTGTAGTAATCGTTATCATCCAGTGTTTAACGTGTTCAATCGAGTGTGAAGTTCGCTTCAAAAGAAGGATTTTCATTTAATTTTCATTTAAGGCAAGTGAAAGTGATAAGTACATTAAATAGAACGTTTAAAAGCTATCAGGGTGAATTTAACATAAACAGAAGTTACTTTAACAACGTATCGCCATGTGTATCGCTTAGCCCCACCCGTGTTTATGTAACTTTTTTAAACATAACCTGTTAAAATGAAGTGAAATTTACAAAACCTCTTGCACAACATTAGAACATGATTGAACTATTAAATCTATTTTTGATGTCTCTTCTAACCATAGTACACTATCATATAAAAACTTACACTCTTTAAAGAATCCGGACATTCTGTTTTCGGGTAATCGTCAAGATCCAGATATGCCATGAAGGTATATTCCCATATCGTGTATGACCTCTTGACACACCTTGGGTTTTTCCCTGCCATGAGGTAAATCACTTCCGATGGATAAGTCAACACTTTTTCCGCCCCTTTTCCATTCTCATCAATTTTTCCAGGCTTCAATGGGCTGATGTAGCTAGTGATCTTAGCGCAGGCTTCCTTGATAGGGGCTAAGACCAGAATGTCTAATAGGATGCCACCAGGGTTGTAGACGTATGCTCTCGGACTTTCGTTTTCAAACTCTTTGCATTCCACTTTAAACTCGAATGATTCTACCTCTATGGAGACAGGGTCCGCTTTGGCTTTGGGAGAGCTGTCCACCCATGGAATGAAGACCTGGTAGCCTTTACCGGTCTTAGCATCCTCAATGACTGTCGAAAATATATTAACATATTATATATTATTTAACATATATATATATGGGTCAAGACCTATTTTTATACGATTCTCTTTAGTTAAAACTCAACTGTTAGCCTACTACCCTTAACTTTTGTTAATGTACTCGTATCAAGTCTATGCTTGTGTTATTATTGAGGAAAGCAACAATTTACTACAACACAGGGGTCTTTAATTTCGACTATGTTACTAAAAATAATATACATTACTGGGGGTATAAATTATTGAAAAAAAATCATAAACTATGATGTCTTTTTACTGTCGTTTTACGGAGAATATTATCAGCCCTTACGATTGACGTAAAAATCATTTCACAAAGCTAGCAAACAAATAAACTAATTGCAATAAATTTATTTTGCACAGGACTGTAAGCCGTAGTTTTTGTTAAGGCTGTACTGTATTTGCGGTGTTTGAGGTACAGTATTTCAATTAAACTCTTTGTAATGGATTTTATTTAAACTAGCTGTTACTCACGGGCTTCACCCCGTTTGACATCATATCATAAGTATTAATAAAACTATTGATTGGTTAAGTTAACCTGAAATAAACAAAATACAGTAAAAGAAACAAATAGTCACACTTGATTTTAATAAGGCAATAAATTGAAAGAATAACAAACAAGTACAGCTGAGGTATCATTAGGTATAAGGAAAGTTCCCTTTAGAAAGGAATTACGACCTTAAAAGGCAATGTATGAAATAATGGATGGTTTTGCGCTAGGTTTCTCGTCATGACGAACATTTTAAATATATGGTTTATGGGGGTGTGACTTGTAGTTTTCTCAAAAGTTCATGGGTACTTTTGGCGTTTTATATAGATTAACAGTGTGCTACATTTCAACATCAATATGAAAGAAGTAGCCTATGGATATGGATCAAACTAGTCAAAGATTGCAAATGCAATAAATTTAAAATATTGGGTACCAGGAATTCAGAAATTAAAAAACTATATACGGACACAGCTGGTGTAGAAAGGTCCATTGTTGGTTTTGCTATACTAACTATGCCATGCTATCTATGCTGACTAGGCCACAACACAAGTCATAACAAAAACAACTTACACTGTTTGAGTGATTTTTGCACATTTTTTATAACCACTTTTTACAATTACTGACATTTATATAATTATTGCTGTATAAAACTGTTTTAAATTTGCTATTCAATGAAACAATTCCCATGTTTCTAAGTTTCTTGGTTATTTGATTCAATAATCTTAAAATGTGTCCAATAATTTATGACCACCCTGTATATTTAAAAAGTGAAGAAAGAAAAATTCACTTGAATAATATGAGTTTACTTAGAACTGCATTATCATTATTTTAATGAAACAAGATGAATAGGGATGAAATAAAGTTATAAGATTTTAAGGAAATATTTAACAGCCACGAGTTTTATTACCGTCTCAAGATACCTAAACCACTACCATCATTACAGCGGATTATAGAGGTCAGTTTTGCAGGGTTGTAAAACACCTAAATTTCCAATGTAGTTCTGACAGTTAGCGAGTGAATTTTGGAAATATTTCTTCCTTCAGTTTTGTTGCTAGAGGGTGGAAGAGTCAAGATCCAAGGTTTAGAGCAAGGAAAAACTGTATTTTTCAGGATGGTTTTCCATATAAGGCTAGAGAATATTCGTTTTCACTTGTGGCAAAGTTGAAACCGAATTGTTATACAAATACAACTTCAGCTTAGATGCAACCAAACCACTGGTTAGCATCACATAAATATGTTACACCCATAAACATGTCTAACATAAACATGTTAGTATTTATTAAAAATAGTGTTACAATATTTTTTTTTTACATAAAAAGTGACTCTTTTTTACCCGAGGTTAAGATTTACGATTGAAGCGAAGCCGAGGTTTGAAAATGAGCAAGGGTTAAAAGTCACTTTTTGCTTGTGTGGTGAACTATATTTTTCGTCATATTGCATCATTAATAAAAAAAAACAAAGCTAGAAAATGAAATAATTGTTATGTAAAGATAACCTCTCAAAACGACCTCTCTGCTAATGCAAATAAGCAGCTGTTAAGTAAGTGATTTAATTATTTCGACTATGGGTAATTTCTTGACCCATGTTATCATGTTCATGAGACACCTAAGCATGGTCCAGGATTGGTTGTATTTGTCGTATCCTCACTTGGGCACATACACTGGCCGGGCGCACACCAGATGAGGCATGGCACGGCACGGCGCGATGTTTTGCCTTAAGGCGCCTTATGCGACTAGGTTTCTATTATTTCAAATGGGGGCACGGCATTTGCCCCACACATCATCGGACACGGCAAAGCAATGCAAAACAGCGCCTCACGGCGCTTTGTACTGCCTTTTCAATTTTCGTCTTTCGGGCAAAAGGCTTGAGGCAAAACGATGTGCGCATGCGCGAGGATCGACACCACGTTCAGCGCAGTGACAGCCCCTGTCAAAATCAGCGTGCACTTCCAACTATTAGTAATTATGAAATTTTTCCGGATCTGCTCTTAGTTCTGCAAAGAATGGTTTCAAGTTCAAGTTCCTTTTTTGGTTGATGGGATGCACCCACGATTCTCTGTTAGGGAGATCATCCATTACATGCATTAGGTACCAGCTATAGGTACCAGCAATAACCTTATACCAGCTATTGGTAATTTTAGGTATAGCATCTATGGCAGCAGCCTCTTCTTCGCCTTCTGCATCCATTCTCACAAAATGTGTAGTACAAAGTGTCACAAAATGTACAAACAACCTCACAACACACAGTATCTCACTTTACTGAAACCATGAGATCGACATGTGGGTGCTCAAGTGGCCTTGCCGTGCCGTGCCGTATGCATCTCAAATCTCCATCGGGCACGGCAAGGCAAGGCAAAGACGTCTCGCCTCGCCTTGCCGTGCCGTGCTGTGGTGTGCCGCCGGCCATCAATGTGAAGTTGGCTGGCTCCGGTAAAACTATCATACTGTACTACGCAATAGTCCGTAATCCTTCAAACTGGGAATTTCCCTTAAAGTTACCTTTGTCATGACTTTAAATAAGGCATATGGACAGACGCTAACGAAGGAGGGATTTCACGTGCCAGGCCCTGTTTTTTTTTTGTATAGTTCAGTTTTTGTAGCTTTGTCAAGGATGCACTTTCTCAGTGAAAACTATGTCTGTGTAAAAACAAGGCCATCAAAACAAAAATTGTTTACGGCCATATTATTATTTCGATCACAGCGTTCAAATAGGTAATGTAAACATGTAAAAACGTAAATAACATTATATTTTGAAAAGGTTAATTATCTAAAATGTAGACCCGCATCTATTCCTGAAGTAAGGACCTATACTTAAATCAACGATTCACTAACTACGCAGAATTAACTTTATATATATATAGGGTTTCCCACGAGACATGTCTCGTATATATGATAAGTGATAATAGAATATGTTAAATGGATCATTTTACTCCGTCATGAGGTACGGACAAGTTATTGGTATGATTTAAACAACAATACGGATTCGACTATGACACAAATGTGAAATATTCTCTAGGCTTACATGGGATCCTGTCCTAAAAACTACACTTTGTTGCTCGCATTAACCTGAATCTTTCACAATATCTCAAAGTGGGAAACTGTATGATGAAATATTTCCAAAACTCCCTCGCTACCCGGCGGAACCCGACCAAAAGGCAATTTAGGTGCTTTGCAATTGCAACTCTGAACTCTGCGATACTGACACTTATAACCCACTTTCATGATGGTGGCATTTTTGGTATTTTAAAGGACGGTCATAAAACCCGTGGTGGTATGATAACAGCTTATTTGTGTATATGAAGCTTTTTTTCAATTCAACTATTTATACAGTTATCAACATAAAACAAAACTGTAGATCAATGCTATCTCTATCATTACAATATTCGTCAACATGATCAAAAATGGGTGTATACATTTAATAATTACAAGCTTATAGGTACGTACATACCATTGCCTTTAATCTTTCCCCAAGCATCAACTTTGCCTAAGCTCTGGAGTGCCTGTAGTAAAATAAACCATACAACTTAGTTATTCTACAACTATAACTATATAATTATGTTTTTCTACATGTGTGTGGGTGTACTACATAAATATTTGTTACTGTATACATAAAACTTTTGACAGTTGTCACTTATTATCTTCAAGAAAACTTATAGCGTCGTAAAATGTTTGAGGTAAATAAAAATGACTATGATCAAGTAATAATATTGCTAGGGGTTGGTACAGTGATTCCCCATATTATGTATTAGAGATCAATTTAAATACTTACCGACTAGGTGAATTTTAATCAGTCTGATTTGATTTTAAGTAACATTTTTGCTCAAATACGCCAGATTTATTCTTTATTCAAACAAACATTAGGTATATTAATTTGCCAAATTTGATTAAATTATAACCATAAACAAGCAAAATATAACAGTTTACTTTTCTCCATAGCAATAACATAGAGAATAAACTATTACTAAGGTCTCGTGGTAAGACCTAAACCCAGGACCGATTTACTTGTTCGTTTTTTTGTCCCCAAAGACCGAAAATACCCATTATATAATTTATTATCATGTTAGCATGACAGCTCGAGTAAAAATGATCCGATTTTGATAAAATATGTTTGAAACGTGTAAACCTATCTATTTAAGCGAGTTCGCTATTCCAGCATTATCTAACTATACAAGCAGATTTTTATGTGGAGAGGGATTTATGTGGTTAAAATTAATTTTACCATTTTCAATCCGCTAAACATAAAATTTTACTTTTTCCTTCCAAATTATTTTTCGAGCTCAAAAAACATTATAGTTTATTGGAGCGTTGTTGTAAGGCTAATGGTTACAGAGAAAGTCCAAAATCTAGTTTGCTTGTACAGGGATATACTATACTCGCCTTTGGCTCACCCCCAGGTTTAAAACCGTTTCAGGTTGGTAGCTTGATAGATTATTTATTACATCCTTGGCAAATTTCAAGTCGCTAGCACATTTTTAAATGGTTCAGATCAGCATATTAAATAAGCCACTTTAGAGCTTATGCCCATAAAAATAACATAATCCCCATATGGGGGAATTCAAAACTTGAGGGAGGGGCGAAAGGTCGTCATTAGTAGATTATAGTTATTCTTTTAAAAATCCACCACTTTAATTTTTCCTAGAGGAATGTAAACGTTTTAAAATGTCTTTTTTTTAGGTTTTCCTTCGAAATCGAGAGAATTATAAGTCCAAAAAGTAATTTTGGAATAACCCCTAAAAATTAACCCCAATTATTTGTAGAAGCAAACCTAATCAATTAATAAAATTTGTATTCAATTGGATAGTAAATCTAACTATCTTAAGGGAATATTTTAGTGAAATTTCAATCTTGCAAATGGAAATTCGCATAGTCTGGAGTTTTGCTGCGGTTGGGGTAGGCCTATTATTTTAATTTTCTCCGTACCCTTAAATGGTATGCAACGTTTACTATATGGTTTTAATAGCAATTAGGTATTCGAGGGGGGACAATTTCAAAGCTTTATAACACCCAGGTCCCACTCTGACCCTGGTTATAACACCCGATCTTGCTGGACGCGAAATCATTCACGTCCATCCAATCCTATACATTAATGCAGAATTTCATCAAAATGGGACCAAACTCACACACACTCTAAGCGATACATCCGTTAACCTGGTGCAATTTTCACAAAAAACGTTCTCCTAAAACATTAAGACCTATTTTCTTTTATTACTAACATTAATTTGAATACAGTAAGTAATTAGGTTTGCTGCTACGTGGAAGGGTAGCATAGTATGAAATAAACAAATTTGCCAAATTAAAAAACCTATTTCCATAAACAAGCAAACTACAACAATTAATTGATTTATCTATATATATATATAACCAGGACGTGATTGAACCATGCGAACGAGCTCACTTATGAAGTTAAACGGGGCAAAGCCCGCGGGTACAGCTAGTCTTCTATAAAAGTGAAATAAGTTACCACTCACTAAGTCGTTGTAAAATCGGAGATCAAGTATTTGGTGGATTAGTAAATTATTCGTGGTTTAAGTAAATTACAAATGGGTTTTCATGGGTTTTCTTTTTAGTGGATAGTTGTATTTATGATTATTAAGTTTAGATCATGCCTTTTACTGTAGACTTTAGAAAAGCCAATTTTATGTGTGTACATTCACAAACATAAAAACGGTTGTTGAAAACATCCCCGGTCAAACCTACACTTTTTATCCATAATTTAATAATTTATTTAATATAAACACCTACTGACGTCAGCTGAGATAAACAGCTGTGGTTAGATTACGGCCGCCATCTTGGTTCCATATCCCCGCCGATCCTACTATCGTATATACTGTAGACCTGTAACTTTTTAGGGACTTTTAGGGTTTTGATTAGGGAGTTCAATAAAAAATCGTGCAATATTAGTTAATGTTATTTTAAGATACATAATACTTTAAATAAAATAAAGTTATAGGAGAACTGACTGAAAATTACACTGGGGATAGAATCGTGGCCAAAAAAAGGAATTTTGTAGGTGGTTTCAGATTGAGTGGTTTGAAGCTCTTGGTGAAGGGCAGTTAATGTATTAAAAGAAAAAAATTTCCCTTAGTTTCCACATCATTATTAGTCACAAATGCTTAACTAAATTAAGTGACTATTTATATATGGATTTAGGGCTAATATTTTTTATCTAATTATTTTGTTGGCCTATCAGATTAAACATTTAACTTTTTAATTTAAAATATCGTGAACGAAGCCACGGGGGGTTTGCTAGTTCTCTATAAAAATAACACGTGAATTTTGAATTTTCAGTGTTTTTTATTTCCTCCGGAACTGATAGATATACAACAACTAAACAACGCTTCCGGATGCTTTTTATTTTAAGCTCTACAAGATGGGTTAGAAGAAATTGCAAAACGGGGAAAGACTATTTTTACCCCACTAAATCTTCCATAAACCTCCGTTCCCATAGTCTGATCATGCTGGTTAACGAGCTCGTTCGAATAAACGTAGCTTCCAGGGAAGCTTGGAAGTATAGATGGGAACTTATAACTATGTTTAACTTATACATTTTAGGTAGGCCTAAATAAAACTAATAAAAAACCTTGAAACTCGTCTACTTTTATCTGATATCCTTAATTCTGTATTATGTTTTGTTGTCTATTGAGTACTCTAATTGGGTTTTATTATTCTTTTATTTGTTGTATAAAAAATTTTCATTTCTTTTAGTGCTAAACTTTTTTTAATACTTTTACACAAAATATGATTATGTTATAGTGCCAGACTGTTTTTGTGTGAATTTTAAAGTTGAAATTCATTTTAGAAGGCAAAAATTGTGTCAACCAAACAGACGGTTGTTATCAACTATTGTTTCAAAGGGATATATTTTTGGTGGTCAATGAATACCGATGAATTTGCATTTACACTTATTTATGTTCTACTGTATGTAAGTAAATATATTTTATAGTAATAGTAGTAATAGTATTTTAGTCCACTTACATTATATTTTAGTTCACGATAACGGGACCCTTAGCCAACTATATTGGCTGTAAATATATTTTTTTTATATTGGACAAACAGGGATATATATTTCTTGCATTACAAATGAACATTTTCGAGCGAACAAATCAAAAAAGCAGACGACTAAAAACTCAATGTATTTTGTGCTCATTCAATATATAACTACAGTTGTTTGAAATTAGAAGAGTACTACTGTATATGAATTTGACATTTGGGAGTAAAATGAATGTATAAGCAGAACCACATAGGATTGGAGGTAACAACACTGAAGATTAGATTCTACATTATACAACAACAATTTAGCCTAATATAAAAAAAAACTATTAAGGCAAACTAAACAACTACAGCGAATCTACATAAAGTTTTTGAAAAAAGAAATCTTTTTGATTAAAAATATAATTTAGTTATAGTGTATATTTTAAATTAGTTTTATGGATTCACTAATCCAATTGGGCTAATCCATTGACTGTGGCCTTTGCCTTTGTGAAAAAATGTAAAACCGTAATTACATGAAAATCGGAAATTTGTCTTGCAAATTAATATTTGTTAAATCTCTTGAAACCCGTAGCTCTAAATATAATATAAAATATATAAAAAAACAGCAAAGTAAAATTTAAAATAAACACAAGTTCTTAAAAGGTCTATAGTTTAACAGTAAGAGAAGAATATTATATCTTTCAATATTATGGAAGATGGTTTTATGTCATCATCTCAAGAAATGAACTACTTAAAATATTTAACAAATACTAACCAGACAAAACAGCAAGACGATCCTTATCATCTCCAGTCCTGAAATTTTGTGACACGCAAAGATAACGATTTTATTAATTACTCATGAAGTCAAATAAATGTTGTTGTGACAGATCAGCAAAGTGGAATATTGCGATTGGTTGGTTACTGACGCAGATCAGAGGAGATTGGTGTCATTATTGCTAATTTGTCATCATTTACGCTTGACGTTAATTTGATACCGCCGCAACCTGTTTTCGTTTAAGATAACGCAATATGTTATCAGGAGATTTTGAAGTATATACTTAATAATTCATTCATTGAAAAAATAAATTATCTAACTAATAAAATAATAAAATATTTATATTTTTATGGATTGATTTTATGTATATGTTACACTCAATCCACGAATTCGGACAATGTCCGAAATTTCTACCCACTCCGCGATGTGGATAGTGCGAAATATCCACGTCGCGGAGTGAGCATTTTATTTCAGACATTGGCCGAAGTGAAATGCCCAGACCGCGTTGTGGGTAAACTGATTTTCTCAAACGCCGAAGTCAAAATCTTCTTCGGTCATTGAGTAAATCGAAAATACCCACAATGCGATGTGAGCAAAAGTGATTGCCCACGTCGGAATGTAAACGCCAAATAGCCTGTGTAAACTGCCTTATACCCAAAAATCTACATGAAATCCACAATCACTAGGTAAAATAAATAAAATTTATGTTTGTGATTATAATTATTTAATGTATAAATAGCATTTTAGAAAACACAAGAAAACATTAAATTACCGAATAGGAACAAATATAAAAAGGCCCATTAGGCCTACACATACATCTTCAGTATGCAAGGTTCGCACATATCCAAGTATATTTTCATCACCTCTCTGGTAATGTTGCAAAATTTCTATTTAAGCTCTACTTCCATAGCAATCTCTTTCTTATGACCGACTCGTAAGTGAGTTGAATGAATTGTGTCATACATTTGATCAATGCGAAATGCGATAAAAATATTTTATATCTGTTATTTCACTAGTTGTTTTTTCAATTGACGTTTCTTTGTCACCAATGTTTATGACATCGAAGCGGTTGATTCAGCGATAATCTTTCGATGGTAATGACTGACCATTTCTCCTCTTATCTTTCGCTTTCTTGAATTGAATGATTTCTTCATATCTTTGTTCTTCAATCAAGAAATTGCGACTTGAAAGGTCATCCTTCTTTGACATCAGCTCCTCCAGTTTAGTGTTTAGTAATTCCTTCATTTCATATAACATCACAAAACAATATCTCACAAGAGGTATCAAAATAATATACACCCTTACACGCTGGAATGAGGTGAGTGACAGTCAGATTATTAGCATAGTTAGGGGTTTTAAGGATTCAAACAGCCAAGATGTAGGTAAACGGTGTCTCTTGCTCCATCTTAAAGAGCACAATTGAGTTTATACTCAAGCCTCTGACTCGGCTAGTAAATCTTTGTCTTAAGTGTGGGGTTTTTCCTGATTCCCTGAAGGTAGCAAAAACCATACCTATTTTTAAGAAGGGAGACCCATCGCTATTATCAAACTTTCGTCCTATTTCCATACTCCCAGTCTTCTCTAAGGTCCTGGAGACGGTCATGAAAAGACAACTCATGGCCTATCTTGAGACAAACAGCATTCTCTCGAGTGCACGACATGGATTTAGAGGGGGTAGATCTACAACCACCGCACTGTTGAGTCTTGTTGAGACAATTACTGACGCCATTGAACATAATGAGTCAATCCTCCTTAGACTTTGCGATCTGAGCAAGGCGTTTGATGTAGTGTCCCATAAGCTACTGATAGGCAAACTAGCAAAGTATGATGTGGACGGAACTGTGCTGAAGTCCCTGTCCTGTTATCTGGCAAATCGCGGGCAAGTAGTTGTGATAAATGGGTCTTCTCCTGCGTTAGGAGTATCTCACATGGAGTGCCTCAGGACTCGGTGCTCGGTCCTCTCCTTTTTAGTGTGGTGGTGAATGACTTGAGGCTAAATGGCTCCACCCTCCTTTTTGCTGACGATGCCACCCTGATATCTAGAGGAAGCGACATTGAGCAACTGCATATTGAAGCTGACCATCTTTTGGAGCTGGCCAAGAACTGGTTTACAGCAAACCGCCTGAAATTAAATGCAGAAAAAACTCAGTCCTTGCTCTGCACACTGAAGCCACTAACCGAAAGAGGTGAGGCGGTTAAACTTCTAGGTTTCTGGTTGGATCCCAAACTAAGCTGGAGCTCACATATTGATAGGGTATGCGCACGGCTATCTAGGGTTATTTGCCTCCTAAGGAAATATCATCCCGAAGCAATTCTTGATAACTGTGTACCATGCTCTGTTTCATAGCCATCTTATGTACGGCTTGGTACTTTGGGGCCATTCACCGGCAGCACAGGACATATTATTGATCCAGAAAGAAAACTGTAAGAATCGTAATGTCAGCCGACTACAACGAACATTGTAGGCCCCTTTTTAAAGATCTGGGCATTCTTACAGTTTTCAGTCAATATGTATTGAACATCCTAATACTGCTGAAAGAGAATGTCCATCTGTTTGACCGAAGAGAAGTTCATCACCGCTATGACACCCGGCAAGCACTACACCTTGACATGCCGCGATGTCGTCTCACCCGCACCCTCAAGAGCTATCCCCGCTATGCCATAAGGCTTTTTTAATACCTTGCCGGATAAGGTGCGGGATATGAACATCACCTCTTTCAAAGCAGCCATCAGAAATAGCTTGTTAGATAGGCCACTATACTCACTGGAGGAGCTGAGTGAAGAGCCCCTAAAAGTTATATAAAAGCCCTTCCTTCAAAATGGAAAACACGTTTTATTTATCGCCACCGCCTGATTAAGTTTATATGTATGTAAATAGTAGTGTTTTTTTTAATGTATACATAATAACGCAGTCTATCCGACATTGTCGGTCAACGATGCAGTACACAAGTATCAAGTATCACTGAACATATATTAACTTGATCACGAGCGTATCACTACAGGACAGCAACAGTAAAGAATACACAATGCAGGTGCAGGTTTGTCAATCCTAATAGCAAATAGTGCAAATGGTGGGGGTGACATGTCTGAACGTCAATTCGGTGTTTGCACAAACTAGAAATACCCACAACCAGACGTGGGCAGGTGGGCAATACCTCTTGCTCACATCGCGTTGTGGGCATTTTGGATTTGCTCGATCGCCGAAAGAACGTTATGATTTCGGCATTTGAGTAAATCAATTTACCCACAACGCGACATGGGCAATACATCTTGCTCACATCGCGTTGTGGGTATTTTGGATTTACTCACTCGCTGAAGAACGTTATGACTTCGGCATTTGAGTAAATCAATTTACCCACAACGCGGTCTGGGCATTTCACTTCGGCCAATGTCCGAATAAAATGCTCACTCCGCGACGTGGGTATTTCACACTATCCACATCGCGGAGTGGGTAGAAATTTCGGACATTGTCCGAATTCGGAGATTGAGTGTAACATATATATTAAGGGTGCGCTTTACCTCAGCTCGGAAATCTCAGCTCGGGCTTCAGTAGCTAAATTTCACCATTTGACAGCGCTGCGAGAAGCGCTTGCAGACGTTTCCAAGATTACTGTTTTAGAATTAACAAATAATGATAGCTACGCACTCCAAACGGCTTATAGTAGTACAAAGACCAATCTATAGTTCTGCGTTTTTCAAATGTTCAAAAAAGTTTTTTTTTTAAGTTAAGGCTAGTTGAAAAGACCCTTTTTTCTTGTACTACAACTCAAGTTTATAAGGTGTGTATTTAAAATAATTAAAATATAGAAACAAAGAACTACAGAAAATTTCATCCTTTTTAATATGATACCTTAACTTTGATTCTACCTTCAATGTAGCAGGTGAAAACAGAAATCCTGCAAACCGTTGCATTCGGTTGTGCGTCAGGGGTAAAGCGCGCCCTAAGTTGTACAAGTTGTAGGTTGTATATATAAGTTTGTACAATTTCAGGGTAGTGTGTGATCAATTTTAAAAACAATATGTTTTTAAGTTTACGTTGTAATTTTTCATGAACTTGTTAGAACTATGAATCAAATGAATCAAGTGAATTGATAATCAAGTGCCGATTTATTTCGCGCTTCACTGATCGTACTGTCCACATCGTTGCTTAAACTCAAAATTTACAAATTATTGTATTTGTTGGTTCGATAAACCTCAGTATCAAAAATGTTATGTTATTATAATCCCGTCCTTATTAGGGTATATTCTCACTTTCCGTGCATATTAATTTGTTTTGGTTAAATATTCGTTTTGATCAGTTAAATAACAGTTGCATCGACCACAAATTTCGTAAATTAAATTTTGATGTTCAAAATATTTCTTTACTCTGAAACTTATAACGATAACCAATTTCTGTTCGAAGCAATACGGTATGCAAGCAATATCTTGTGATTACTGTGGTGGTGCGGATGTATTCATGAATGGTTTACCACAATAAACGTCGTGTATTATGTATTCTACGCCACTTAAGGCATTGCGGTTCCTGTATATGAATATACAGTAGGTCTCTTGATATAGGATTCATCTCTGTGAAAAGCACTTAAAAAACCAATGATGTTTTTCTAAACGTTTATGTGATCATTTGTATTTTTCAAATGAAAATACAGATTTTGAATTTTCAACCTTACAGTGTTTTGTAGTAGGTAAAAATAGGTAAGATGTAAATCAATTCTAGAAATAAGTTTTAGAGTTAGTACTGCTACATTAGTATGCAAATAAAAATACGTAAGTTGCTAAAATTATTTAGAGGACATTGTTTATAGTGAAATTGAAAAACTTCACAGCAAAGCACATTTTGTCAATTTACTAGTATACATATAGGATACTTTTAAACCATAATGTATAAAAACAATGTGATGATAGCGTAGGTAAAACCATGGATGTTAAAACAGAAACGGTATGGATCACAAACATAGATGTCAATGACCCGAATGTCTAGAGTAATAGCATAGATGAAGCAATATGATTATATCACTTAGCCTTTATTATGATCCATATTGTTTCCGATCCAATATCCGTGGATAACACTAAAACTATTTCTAAAATATAAATTAAGTAAAAGGTAAAAAATATTATGTTCCTTGCTACGAGTTATCAGATGTGATAAC